ATAGATACTTCTCATTGTGTATGATTTTTACTATTTTACTACAGTAGATTTAAATATGGGTTTTTGTGTACCGAGTATACTTTGTGAACTCAAGCACTTTGAACTTTCTCGAGATTAAAACATCGGACACCTAACATATGTTAACAAATTTCTTAGATTATACAAATCTATACCCTTAATATCCTTTAGGAGTTTTTAAATGGATAGAAGTTTGTCTAATTCTCATCTTCATTCTCAATTTTATGATTGACGGATTCCGTATGATTGGAGAGGGATTAACCATATAAAACAATTACAACATTGCCCTAATAGTTGATGCAAGGTAGGTGATAGGTCTTTTAATAAGTGGTATGGATGAGTTAACTCATTGGATGTCCCCTCATTGCTTGTCTTTCTTGAGAAGCTAATTTACCAAACCAGCTAATTAAGCCATTTCTCCCTCAAGGACTTTGACTTTTTTGGTATGATTATACTATAACTGGTTTCTCTCTTTATTTTCCATTTTCTTTCTCGATCTAGTACTATGGATCTTCGGTAGAGGTTGAGCTTTTGTAGTGTAACCTATATTTCTTTTATATGAAGATACATAATATAAGTCTTAGAAAGATGCAATGCTTTTACTTATAAATTTCTACTCATGTTGTGTGTGAATATAAAGCGTGCTTTTATTGAAATAAGTACCATGGCTATCAATATGACTTTAGAGCTAGTAGTGGGTTGGATAACAAAATGATACTTACTAGGCTATGCCGACAAGTGGGCATGGTACTTCAATCCAAGAGATGATATAATTATACATAAGCAATCATCATTAATAAGTAGCCTTGATAGCCATGGTAATTCTAATTCTAACGTATCATGAGATAATGTTATTATTATTTTTTAAACTACATAAAAAACAAACAATTTATGCTCCTTTGTCCTATGAGTAGACTAGGAATATGTTTTAAGTTTATCTAGATGTGATTGAATAGGGTTGGTTATCTTAACTTCTTCAAAAGCCCATATATTAAGCTCAAGTTCAATCATAGTGGGTGATAATTGAAGCTCTATTCTCATGCATATGGGTTACTCGATTGTCCTTCGTAGTCTCATAGACATAAATAAATTTTCCACGTGACTCGAGGGATAAGTTGTGCAAGCTATGAGACCACAAGTCCCTCGAAGTGCCACCTACTTCTTTTTAGTCTTAGATTAAAAGACCAAAGTGTGTGTAGACTTAAACATATGTAATGTGTAAGTGCTAGTGTGTGTAAAAGAACCACTTTATATCCAAACCCAAAGATAAACATCACAGAAAAAAGCATAACATAAAAATTAAGATAAATAAAAATAAAAATAATATTATATATTAAGTCAACACCTTTAACCTTTTAAAAAATAATAAGTAAATAAAAATAAAATTAGAGATAATAATATATCAAAACTAAAAATTTTTTTACAAAACCCTAATCCAATCAGATTAAATGTTAGAGCACACAAATATGACAAATAACTTGCATTTGATCTTACAAAAATTACGCTAGGACCTTAGTGAATTTGTTCTCAATACCTTTAATAAGGAAAGTCTTATAGTGACAAACTTGCTACTTTGGAAAGACCTCCTTAAGTAATTGATTTAAATTTATGCATCTTTAAAAGGTTAACGAGAGAGTTTAATGGCATTGTCATTATCTATGAGGCATACAAATTAGGAATATGTCTATACAAGTATGAGACGATCATCTTTATTGAATTACAAAGCCTACTCTTTAGTCATGAGTTTATGAACAGAGAATCCCACCTTGATTCTCCTATTGTTATATAAAATGGTGGTCTCCTACCCACTTCCCTAATGGTGAATCCGACTAAAAGACATACAATACCGACTATGATGAGACATTCGGTCCGATTGTATAGCTCGTCACGATTCATTATAATATGCTACTCTAACATGATTTAACATTGCGTTTCGTCGCTAATAAGTTTGTCGGTTTATACACAACCCATAGGAAGACCATTGGAAAGCGATAGAAATGTATACTATGATACCTTAAACATATGATTGACTACATGCTTCACATTAGAAAAACCAACAATTGCAAATGAACAAAAGGATATGCAATTTACTTTAAGAGCAACTTAATCTTCTTGAAATCCTTTAAACAAAAGACATTAGCTCGAAACTCCACTAAGGTCGAAGATAAGACAACAATCGATTTGGCGACTGAGCTCTCTTAAGTCTAACCTCTTCTGGTGAACTCGATGTCTTCTAGTCATAAACACCGACGATTTGGTGTGACAATATAAGAGCTCGCATTTGGTGGTAGATCCTATGTTTCATTTTTGGACAAAACACATTGAAATTGACTTGTATTTTGTTAGAGACATGGTGTTTAAAGGGACCATTTGCGTTTGTTTTATTTGGAATCAATATCAAATATTGTATGTTATGACCAAGCCTCTTTCCAGAGTGCACTTTCATTTTTCTTGACAAACTAAATCTTGTCGAAAGACTATAATCATCGGCTTGTGATGGAGTGTTAAGACATTGGCAACAAACTTAACAACAAAAGTTTGCTACATTAGAGCCTAACAACAATTCCAAGCAACATCTTTCCACTAGGGATGGCAATCTAATCCGCCCCGACGTCGCCTCGTTTGGGGAGCGAAATTTTACCCTAAACGGGGCGCGACGTGGGGATGAGTTTTTTTTAGGGTGTGGCGAGGATGGGGATAGCCATCCCTACCTCGCCCGACCATTTTACTTTTAAAAAAGATAATTTGACGGGGCCCCATCGGATGAAGAACGAAATTTCACTCGAACGGGACACGGGGCGGGGATGGGTTTATTTTTTTTAGGGACGGTGAGGGGATGGGATCCTCGCCTCGCCTCGCCCCATTGCCATCCCTATATTACCTTCATTCTTATCCGATATCACGATCGAGTTAGGTGTGCATATTGTCTTCATTCTTATCCGATATCACGACCGAGTTAGGTGTGCAAAGTAAGGATGGCAATTGGGCGGGACGAGACCGGGATTGCCATCCCCATCCCTACCCTATCCCCTAAAAAAAAAAAAACTCATCCCCGCCCCGTGTCCTTTTCGGGGTGAAATTTCACTCCCCATCCCCGCCCTAAACGGGGTGGGGCGAGGCTCGCCAAATTACTTTTTTTAAAAGTAAAAAGGCGAGGATTGCCATCCCCAACCTCACCCTACAAAAAAAAAAAAAAAAACCCATCCCCATCCCGTGCTCCGTTCGGGATAAAATTTCACGTCCCATCCCTACCCAAAACAGAGTGAAGCGGGGCAGCTTTAGAGTCGGTTGGATTGCCATCCCTAAGACAATAAGATGAACAACAGTCATCAATAGCATCAAATAACTCTTATGCTACTGTTAAATAAGGGCGGAGCTCCAGTTGTTAGGATGTTAAACTATTTATCCTGGACAGTGTTTTGTATTATCTTAAGTATTGATAAAACCTCACCTCTGGGTAATTAAATTGTTACAAGAAATACTTACATAAATAGAGTTTCAGAACCAAAGGGAAATTGTGCGGAAAAATTGCTTTTTAAGTCACACATATATATGTCACATGCTCTCGTACATGCTATGGGTGCATATATACAATGTGATAATGGGTCATAGTTGATTGTTCCATGATGGGAAAGTTATGCACTTGCGTAATGTTTTCAGTAGAGGAAAATCCAAATGCAGAGTATGTGCCACAAGTCTTTCCCAACAGAGAGTGCCCTGCAGGCTGCAGGATGATACATGACCATGAAAAGACAAGAGGGTCCTGCAATGAGTTAGTCAACTCCCATTTGTTCTTTAGTCCCTTAGCAAGTGCACATTATTTAAGAAGCGCTGCTGCTAAACAAAATAATGGTCCCCAAATGTCCCTTATTAATCAATCCATGCTACCATATATTATTACCCTATTATTATTATTATTATTATTATTATTATTATTTTGGAATATACATCACCATATTAAATCAAATCAAGAAAAAAGAAGACGAAAAAGTACGAGGAGGTGGCGCTCTGTTCCCCTGTACTGCAGCCACAAGACATGCAAGACATGATTCTTTTTAGCAGAATTCATGAATACTACTACTCCTCTTTTTCACTCCCCAAATCTCTCTACATCAATAAACTAATATTGTACAATATTATTTTCTAACAACATCATGACTTCACTGGCATGGATAACTGCAGGATCTTATCTTTCCAAATGTTAGGTTGAGATCCTCGGTTGGGTGTTTCTCTCTATAATATTTTGTCTTCAAATCTCTGGAAAATAAAAAAGAAAAAAATCTCATATCTAATCTTCTGAACGTGTTATTAGAATAATTTAGTCATCATATATGGAAAAAAATGGTCTTGAAAAACAAAAAATCTCCCACAACATCATAAGTTTTTCAACCCACAAAACAAGACACACATGCATGGAACCATAGACTATATATACACACACACCATGCTTTACAGCTAAACCTTCAAGTAATTTAAAACTTTATAGATATTTCACATACGGACGACATAAATTAAGGGGAAAGGTGAAGAAGACGCAAAGAAAAGGATAAAAATTAAGTTTGAGGAGGGTAATTAGTGAGTAATTAGGAGATAATAAAACCCAATAAAATAAAGGGGAAAAAGGTGAGCGGGTTTTTCGGTACAAAGGACGGAAGATGCAAAAAGCTGGTTGATTGACACGTGGCAAGTCTTTGAACCGTTGGATTAACATGAGATGGATCATTCCATTTTGAGAGAGAGAGAGAGAAAGAGAGAGATATCACTGATCATGACATCCAAAGCCAATGAAGAGAAGAGAAGAGAAGAGACTCACTCGGCTTAGTTAGTTTTAGAAACAAGCACAACACAAAGAAGAACGAGAGAAGCATTGCTGAGTCAGTGAAAGCTAAAAAAGAGCTGCAAAAACATCAGAGAGAAAGAGAGAGAAAGACTTAAATTGGGGTAGGAGAGAAGATAAGAGGAGAGAGAGAGAGAGAGGGGGTATGGCGGCGTTTGCAGAGAAGCAGAGGCAGCAGAAGCAGAAGCAGCTGTAATTCTGTGTCTTAAAAATTAAATGATCAAGAAAAGCAATTGAAAGCGCGATTAACGCTTTCTTTTCTTTTATATACCCTTCAACCAAAAAGTGCCAAAAACTAATCAAGAAACAAGTCGCTTACTACTTGACACAGTTTTTTAGAGAAACAAGATAGCTAGAGCGAGCGAGTATGTGAGAAAGAGAGAAAAAGAGAGGCATTTTCACATACACAAGACACAAGGAAACAAGGAACAAGAATATCAAGAGTCAAGATCGAGTAATACTACTACTACTACTCTTACACTCTTTGGCACTTGCTTTTTCTTTTTTCCTTTGTTTTTTTGTTTTCAATTCAAAACCCAAAATTCTGGAGAATTCAAGGAGTGCCCTTTTGATATTTGTTGGGTTGTAAGCAAAAGACAAAGAAAGAGAGAGGTTTTCTTGATTATGGATATTCTCTCACAATTGAGTTTTGGGTCAGGTTTAGAGGTGGAGAAATGGCTGGCTTGTTCTCGTTAGGAAGAGGTAGTAGTAGCAGTAATAACCAAGAAGACCAACAAAGCAACAACAACAACAATCCACCAACCGAAATTCCACAAGAAAGCTGGTTTTGGTACAAAAATGAAGACATTCCTTACAAGGGTTTTGAGCCATGGCACCAGCAGCAACACCACCACCAAGAACTTCTTCACCAAAGACACCAAAATCCACAGCAAGATCTCTACTCATCAGCTGTTGGGTTAGGTGTAGGACCCAGTAGAACTTCAATCAACATCTCTGATGAATCCTCATCAAGATCAGCAGCAGCAGCAGCAGCTTTCATGATGATGAGGTCTAGTGGTTCTGGAACAGGAGGAGCTGGTACCATAAGTTGCCAAGATTGTGGCAACCAAGCAAAGAAAGATTGTATACACATGAGGTGTAGGACTTGTTGTAAGAGTAGAGGATTTGAGTGTCAAACCCATGTGAAAAGCACTTGGGTTCCTGCCTCTAAACGCCGTGAAAGACAGCAACAATTAACTGCTTTGCAGCAGCAGCAGCAGCAGCAACAGCAACAACTGCAAATTCGTGGAGAGAATTCTAAAAGACTCAGAGAAAATCCAAGCTCTTCTCTTGCTTGCACTCGCTTAGCCAATAATATGTCAGGTAAAGACAATATATCTATATAGACTTTGTTTATGTAATGTCTCTTTTCTTTTCTTTTCTCTTCTTTCAAGTGAAACGATCAGTCACTCGCAGTTCTAAAGATTCACCCTTTAGAAGAATTCAGAGGCACACACGCTCTTACAGAGAATCTTGAAAGGGAGAGAGAGAGAGAGAGAGAGAGAGGCCATGTCGATTGCGTGTGTAATGATAATGGACCTCCATAGTAAAACCCCATCAGCTTTTTTTCACTTTTCCTTTTATGAATACTGTTATTAAGTAATCCTGACGATTGTATTGACAGGGAAGAAACTATTTTTCCTCTTTCTGTGTGTTGATTGATATCTGTATATATAATATACATGAGCATATGTTTGTTCTTTCTTGCTAGCTTTTGCGTGCCATTTCATATACATAAAATATAATTTAAAAAAAAAATTCCCATTTTTTATCTTACTAGATAGTACTAAATTAATCAAAATCTAAAGTAGTTTATGTTAATGGGTTTTTTTCTCTGTGGCTTTATTTGTTTTAGGGTTAGAACTTGGGAATTTCCCAGCAGAAGTGAGCTCTTCTGCATTATTTCGCTGTGTAAGAGTGAGTGGCATTGATGAAAGTGAGGAGATGTTAGCTTATCAAGCTGCTGTTAACATTGGAGGGCATGTTTTCAAAGGAATTCTTTATGATCATGGCCCTGACAGCAACTACATGGCACCTGGCGAGACATCTTCTGGTGGTGGTGGTGGAGTACAGCCACTTAATTTAATCACAGCTGGCACAGCCACAACATCTGCCACAATTTCAGCCGCTGGTGGTGGTGGTGTGACTGTGGCTTCTACTACAGCTGCATTTCTTGATCCTTCCTCTTTATATCCAGCTCCACTAAACACTTTCATGGCTGGTACGCAATTCTTTCCGAATTCAAGATCATGAAAACACCACAACAACATTCTTGTCATTTCTCTCTCTCTTTTATATTAGCAGCTCCCTTTTCTTTTCCAGTCCAATTCGGAAAAAAAAAATGATGATGATAAAATGTAGTAAGAAGAGAAGTAAATTTGACACATCCATTCAAGGAGTTAAAAAAAAAAAAGAAAAAGAAAAGAAGAATGAGTACTGGTGAGAGGCAATGCTTAACATGTTCTTGTTTTTGTGCAAATTTGAATGCCAAGTATTATTATTCTTCTCCTTTTTCTCCCTTTTTCTTACATTCTCTCTTTTTTGTATGTGAAAGAAATCTAAAGTTTCTTTCTTGTGTTGGGACAAGAAAGGAAAGCAAGTAGAGAGGCAGTATAGTAATGTATTGATGGCATGTTTCTTGTTTTCTTGTTTGTTTGTGTTATATATTATGTTTTGTCTTCGGGGGTTTGAAATTGCATTACGTTAGTTTTGGACTTGAATTGCCTTTTTCCCTGTTTACCCGTAAATTTGCCGGTTTGAAATTGAAACGAAAATTGGGTTTCGTCTTTGTTTGGACAAAAAGGAAAGACCAAACCAATTCCTACCATTCTTTTTCTTCCCCCTCCCTCTTCCTTGACGCGGTATGGGCGGTGTCCAGCCATGCATGAATAAGCAAAGCATTCAAGTTCAAAAGGTGAAAGAAAAGAAAAATATGTAGCGGTATTTCTCTTCTTTCTTGCTTTCTCTCTCTGTTGAATTACTTGCTCATTTGATATTATTATACACACAAACTAATTAATTAATTAGAATAGACATGTATAGATGTGACTTTGATGATAAAATTGGAAATATTTCTTGTCAACTGCTCTTGTTTAATGCACCTGCAAGAATTTATATATATTACTATATGTACATATATTGTTGTTATATGTAGAGATGCTTGCTTGTTATAAGACTTTCTCATTGGAATTTTGATTATGTTTTGTTGGAAAAAAAAATGATTGTGTGAAGAAAACTCAGAGATTGAGAAGCTTTCCTCAATCAATCAAGCTTTCTGACCCATGGCATGTTCTCATCTATTCATTATTACTACATATTAGCTAGCCTCTACAGTTAGGATTCCTCTCTTCCCAATAAAAAGTCTTGTTTCTTGAAAATGATTTCTTGTTTGCTATTATCTGTACAGTACCATTTTAGGCGCTTCACAGTTTGTTTTCATTTAATGCTGACACATAGTTAGACCAGCTACATGTATTATGCATTATTGCCAAGAAATGTAGCTTTCTCACATTGTAGTAGCTTGAACAATATCTCAATTGAGGGTCAAATGTAAACCACAAGCTTTAAAACAACAAAAGAGTACAGATGGATATTATTTTTAATGTAATTCCTTTTAGTTTAAAGTAATACAAAACCATTTATTTATCTATATTTATGTTGCATTTTGAAGCAAAGGCATGGTCACCACAGCTAATCCAATGTCATTTCTAAATAATGGAATCTTTCTAATCAATCTCACATTTCTGTGCATCAAATAGTTATGCAAAAAGCCAAGGCTACTGTTTAATTTTAAATGATATAAGTACAATTCTACTGTTATGCTTTGAGGAATTTTCTTCCAAAAATATGACTCCTTGGAGGATAAGTTATCCTTGGTTGGAGAGTTAAGGTGGCTTGAACGTAATTTGGCTAGACATTGTAATTGCCTAATTGGAAATGAACTTCCTAATATCGGTTCTAAAAGCTTGTAAGCATAAGTTTGAAATTAGAATGCCTATATGAAATACTTTCTGTGGAAATATTTTGAAGCACCTTGAGGATGAAAAATGTCGAAATGTCTTACAATGCTATTTTTCATTGAGTTATTATAATTTGTCTTGCTGTATTCCATTTGAACTAAAATCATTAGCTAAGAACAATGCAATTATAAAGTCAGCTAGTGCATAAGAATTATTTCTCCATTCACTTATCACATACTACAAAATAGCATCTTATCTTAATTTAATTAAATGCCTTAATTTATGTTCAATAAATGTTTTTTTTGTTTTCATTTTTATTAGGGTTCTACTTGATGTGACAATATTCTCTTGCATTAGAGATAATGTATTGTCTTAGTGACAATCTATTGCATTAAAATGGGGAGACTGATGGGAAGGGGTTGGAAATGTTTTCTATGTATACAAGGATTAAACATACCTGCTAAGAGAATTAGTGATGCCTTCAAAGATGGGTTTTGGATTTTTGTTGTTTTAGTTGAGTTATTTTGATTAGAAGTTTTGTCTTTTATGGTTTTGTGGGGGACAAAGAACATAATCATGTATGTGGTGCCTAAACTTCAATGATTTCACAAGAAAAATGCTTAATCGCTCAGTTTTTGTTAGAGAAATCAGTTGAAGTGTGTAGAATTTAGGAATATATATATAGACATCAAATTTCCCCGTTGAAATCATTAAGTATATAGGATGTGAAATGAAAGACATCTAAGAGAAGAGAGAGAAAGAGATATCAAAGGATATTTTAAAAAATTTGCAACACAAACTGGATACAAGTTTGTATGTACTATAAACCATATCATAACAAGTGCAGTCATTTTTTCTAGTATTCATCCCTTGCAAATTTATTGCAATCAACATCAGATTTCTAATCCTGTGAGTATTCTAGCTGTGAATTATGCAATATAAAGAAAACCTAAGTGAATATTGTTAGCTTGTAAGGTAGATTTAGGGCTCATCGAGCTTCATTTAGCCTTAGGAAGCTAGAGATTTGATTGATGTAATTTGCAATCGAGCTTCATTGAGCCTTAGGAAGCTAGAGATTTGATTGATGTAATTTGCATTTGGATAGGCAGAAACATCATTTTTCATCATGTGGAAGCATGGGTATACCTAATAGTGTGGTAGATAATTGGGGCCACAAAAAGTAAGGGCAAAATTATGATAGAAAGATATATTAGCAATGCTTGATCATTTTGGTCCATTAGATTCCTTTGGAGCTGAATGTCCTAGATTTATTTTTCTGCTAGAGTATTATGAGCTGAATGTGTTCCGCATACAAAAATGTCTACATGGTCGCTGGTTTTTTGACATGCAGAATTGTCTTATGCTACTTCTAAGTTTAACGTTTTTAATATGCTTACCAATGAGACCGCATTTTAGAACATGTGCATGGATCTCTCTCTCTCTCTCTCTCTCTCTCTCTCACACGCACACATATATGTTCATGAAAATCTTGCAATGCAAGTTGCAAGGACATGACGCTTAAAGCTGTCTGCTACAAATTAAAGTTCTGATCAGTTTCGACTCTTTTTTGCATGGATGCATTATGGTTTGGAGATGTTTCCTTTCGTATGATTTTTTACTACTATTTTGTGTTCTCAATTGGTTCCCCTAGTTCAACCATCAGCCCACACACAAAAATGTCACGCTAGTGTTGGTTTTGCAGATTTTTATTTCCAAATGATTTGTTTCTACCACATTCCTACAAGTAAAATTTGGGATTAAAATCCAATATCATAACTAATGAAGCTAAACAATCGACACTGGATGTGAGGATCATTTTTCCTTGGCATGAAGATGTTGATCATGAGAATGACCTCACATCCCAGGAAGTTCCCCTTAACTTGGGTTCTCATATTTCCTTGGGCAAAATAAATAAATAAATGAAGGGACAAAATCTGCAGCTTGCCCAACTTCATTCATCCATAAAATCCCGTAACTGTTTGACAAGTCATGGAAGCAAACGTTTGGTACACTCTTTACATGTTATATAGATATATATATATATATATATAATCCGGTATTTATGACTTTTATTCTACGCTTCAAGCAAATTCATAAAATAGTAGAGTAATACCAACCTGATCAGCCCTGCAATTTGGCTTTGCCACTGCGAATATAGCTCCAGCTTTTCTAAACTAATTTATAGTCCAAATTTATTTTTACACAGGACCTCTGCCACGTCCAGCTACTTTGCTCAGCTAGTAGTTGTTGTCCATGAAACTTTTAACAAAAATAGGACCAAGAAAACGTGATCGGATCGTTCTGCACAGCCCTCGTCTGTTTCTTAATTGGAGGTATCTTGAAAGGGAAAAAGAACATGTAGCCTCATCCTCAATCTACTCTGTGAGGGAGGAAGAGAGTAATAATGATTAAGCATCCTAAAGGGATTTCTTTCCAAGCCAATGCGTGGCCAAAGCCATACAATAGGGTGCTAGGGTTTGTTATGGTATTGTAGGGCAGCACTATAGGTTTTATGGCAATTTGAGTGAGTGGAGAGGGTGAGGCTAGATTTGTAGGGATAGAGTCCCATAATGCAATTTGTATTTGTGGGCATGCATATGTATATACACACACACACAGGTGGTCCCAAACTTCCAATAAGCAATTCTCAGGTTCTTAAATTAAAAAATTACTTTCCTTTTGCTTAGCTTTGGCAGCTCAAAATGCTGTTAAATTGTTAATGGAGCCCTATTCTGCTTGTGAGAAAGCAGGAGACAGATCCCTTTATATAGGCAACAGTAGTGATGCATTTATGGACCTTTAATTCACTAAAGAACAATGAAAGTAAAGGCTACTTTGTTCTTGTTGAGTGCAAGATCTTGTTCCAGGAAATGGTGACCGGTTTGAGCAGGAAGGCTGCAAGTGTGATTGATGTTTAAGTTATTTGGTTACACTATAAGAAAGCAGCAATTCTGACTTGTCTGCTTAATGGATCAGGCAATAATTCTTTTGGTTGTCCATATATTTTAGTATATAGGTCAAGATTTTGAAGTGTGCTAGTGGAATTTAGTGCCAGCAATTCTTAAGGAAATTAATAGACAGAACAAAGAAAACCAAATTAAGATGAGAAACTAAATAATCATGGAATTTTATGTAATTAAAATCTTATTTGTCAAAATGTTGGCATGAGTTTTGCAAATTGATCATTCAAAACAAAATCACAAGTATGTTTGATTAGAAATAAGTAAATAACAACTTAAATTAAAAAAAAAATTTCTAAATTTGGAATTTTTGCTTTAATTAAAAATAAAAAAT